GAGAGAGATTTAACACGCTACAAAAAACTTCAATAAAAGTATAAAAAGATTTCAAAAACAATTAAATTACCTGTGAATTTAAAACCATTAGAACTAATTAAAAGATTGTATTTTTATTTTAAGAAATGAAAAATGGAGCAAACAATGTAAAGCCCTTCACAGGTGATTTCTAAAAGCCTGATGGAATAAGGATGTTTTAACTGATGGTGGAAAGCATGAAGGAAGCTCCGGCACCTAGCTCCGGCAGACAACAGTCCTTTGTCCCACCCTGGTCATTCCACAGATATATAAACCCATTTTCCTACTTCCGACAGACCTCACTACCTCTGAGGATGCTTGCCATAGATGCAGGCAAAACGTCAGGATAAAATGCCTCTAGAACATGGCCATATAGCCCGGAAAAACCTACAACAACCCAGTGATTCCGGCCATGAAAGCCTTTGACAATACAATGAAGGAAGTTGTTCTTTCCCTCCTAAGGATGGATTTCCAAACTCTAAGAACAACTGCCAATAAAATACATTTCCCATATTCCTACCAAATGAGCCTGAGAAGGTGATGAGACAGGCAGAAAATCTTCTCCTATAGAAATGTAGGCATCTACAGGTTTCATATAAGGAGATAAAGAGCTTTAAATAGCTTCTGACCCAATCATAACAGTATGAAAGTGGGGATAAAATGGAACAATATTATTTGTCATGGTGCATTATTATAACAACAAATGGGTTTCTTGTGTGGGACACACATTTAAAGTCATTAAATAATATGAATGCCCACAGACACAGTTCACCAAGAATTAAGCATTATTAGTTTGGGTTGTTGTAGGTTTTTTCGGGCTGTATGGCCATGTTCTAGAGGCATTCTCTCCTGACATTTCGCCTGCATCTCTGGCAAGCATCCTCAGAGGTTGTGAGGTCTGTTGGAACTAGGAAAAGGGTTTATATATCTGTGGAATGACCAGGGTGGGACAAAGGACTCTTGTCTGCTGGAGCTAGGTGTGAATGTTTCAACTGACCACCTTGATTAGCATATAATGGCCTGACAGTGCCTGGAGCAAATTTTTGTTGAGAGGTGATTAGATGTCCTTGTTTGTTTCCTCTCTGTTGTTGTGCTGTTGTAATTTTAGAGTTTTTTAATACTGGTAGCCAGATTTTGTTCATTTTCATGGTTTCCTCCTTTCTGTTGAAATTGTCCACATGCTTGTGGATTTCAATGGCTTCTCTGTGTAGTCTGACATGGTGGTTGTGAGAGTGGTCCAGCATTTCTGTGTTCTCAAATAAAATGCTGTGTCCAGGTTGGTTCATCAGGTGCTCTGCTATGGCTGAAGTAGTCTGCAGTGCCTTTCATGTTCCTTGATTCGTGTCTGGGCAATGCTGCTGCGTTTGGTGGTCCCTCTGTAGACTTGTCCACAGCTGCATGGTACACGGTAGACTCCCACAGAGGTGAGAGGATCCCGCTTGTCCTTTGTTGGATTTTCTTGGTGGGTCTGTAGATAGTTTGTATGTTGTGTTTCCTCATCAGCTTCCCTACGCGGTCAGTGGTTCCCTTGATTTATGGCAAGAACACTTTTCCTCTGGGTGGATCTGTGTCTTGACTCTCGTGGCTTCTTCTCTGTTGTCTTGCAGCTCTTCTGATGTCTGAGGTGGAGTCTCCATTGGCCTGGAGAGCCCAGTTGAGGTGGTTCAGTTCATCTTGGAGGAGGTGGGGTTCGCAGATTCTTTTTGCACGGTCTGCCAAGGCTTTAATGGTGATTCTTTTTTGACTTGGGTGATGGTTGGAGTTTTTATGTAGATATCTATCTGTGTGTGTGAGTTTTCTGTAAACGGTGCGACCCAATTGTTGATCTGGTTTGCGGATGACTAGGACATCTAGAAAAGGCAGTCTTCCTTCATTTTTCTTTTCCATGGTGAACTGGATATTTGGGTGGATGCTGTTAAGATGGTCCAGGAACCTTTTGAGTTCTTCTTCTCCATGGCTCCAAATTATTAGTTTGCTTTAGATAATAGTCAACAGGAAGGTGCAACAATTGGCCATAAAGGCTCTTTCTCCCTCTTGTTAGTAGTATCTGTCACAAGGTTTAATTAAACAGCTGTTTTGCTCACCTGTAGTCTTCCTAGAGATCGTCATCAAATTCCACAGAAGGCCAATTACTCTTCCGATTGTCGTTTTGGGACCATAATCACGGATTCCCCAATAATTGGCTAATCGCTCCTGAGCTCTCCATTTTGAAGACAAACGTCTTCAGGGATAAACATGGTTCATGCTGATTTACAGCTGCACCTTGACAAAAACAATAATAATCGCATTTAAGGGTGCCAAGGGGAGGAGGCACGCAAGGAGAAGCCAAACACTAAATCATCATTTTTATTGGACAAGCTGTAATTTTTTCCACAGCCATAAAACAGGATAAAACACAAGTTTTACTTAGCTTTGGGCATGCATTCTCAGTGAAATCCAAGTTTAATATTGTCGCAGTCACAGCTGAATAACTTCATTTTTGAGACAGCTGATATTGTTTAAATCTATTAATTAGTAGTGGATTATTAATGCTAACACGCAGGTATTGTTTCTGCTCACATTCAATAAAACATACCATTAGAGCTGTCTTCTATTCTGCCAGTACGTTCTGTGATGCAGGATCTCTTCCTGAAAGGGAATTTGCTCAATAGACTAGTCTGCAGAGTTTCCAAAACAATGGGATCAATTGGAGCCAATGATCCAGGCCCTTGAATCGACAGGTACTCTATGTTGTTGATGGCATCCACACATACAATTATTATTATTATTATTATTATTATTATTATTATTATTATTATTATTATTTACAGTATTTATATTCCGCCCTTCTCACCCCGCAGGGGACTCAGGGCGGATTACAGTGTACACATATATGGCAAACATTCAATGCCAATTTCTGACATACAAACATATACAGACATACACAGAGGCTATTTAACTTTTTTTCTGGCCGCCAGGGGAGCTGACGCTTTTATCATCCATCTGCAACACTGATGAAGCACTTCTGCATTCCCCGCACGCTTCCCCACTGGAATGCTTTGCCAGAGTCTTCTTTATGGCCACATAAATCAGTTAATTTAGCCTCCCCACACTTTAAGGTGGTACATAATTTTCCTACTTGATAGATGCAACTATCTTTCGGGTTGCAAAGGTCAACAACAGGCTACACAATTGGTTGGAAACCCACTCCAACCCGGGCTGGCTTCGAACTCATGACCTTTTGGTCAAAGTGATCTTAATGCAGTTGACACTCAGCCAGCTGTGCCACAATCCGGGGGACATAATGCTAAGGGTTCATTATTCTGGGAAGGCACACTGGAACAACCATGTTTTCAAGCTCCTCCTGAAGACTGCCAGAGATGGGGCATGCCTGATGTCCTTAGGGAGTGAGTTCCAGAGTCGAGGGGCCACCACCGAGAAGGCCCTCTCTCTCATCCCCACTAATCGTGCTTGCGATGCAGGTAGGAGCGTCAGTAGGGCCTCTCCAGATGATCGAATTACTACCATAGGAACCACTGGAATCAAAGATTCCACCTAAATACAGGGTTAGTCAAAATGAATAGGCCAATAAGAAAATTAATTTTAGACGAATGTATGTTTACTGTAACCAAACCACAGCTACGTAGCGACAGATAAACTATCAAAGTTTTTTTTGAGCAACACACATGTACGTTAATGCCGCTAGGCGTCGCTAGGGGTCGCTGTTTTCAAAATGGCGGAATCAAGCAAAGAGAAGGCGTTTTGTGTGATGACATTTGCTAAAACAATGTCAGTAATTACGGTCCAGCGAGAATTTCAAGGGTTAGGGTTAGGGTTAGGGTTAGGACCTCAACGAACACCTTCCCAGACGTTGCTGCATTCGATGCCATTACGTCGGATGTGCTGCAACGGATGTGGAATGAACTGGACTATCGCTTGGACATCTGCCGTGTCACACGGGGCGCCCATATCGAACATCTCTGAAGGTGAGACAAAACTTTGATAGTTTATCTGTCGCTACGTAGCTGTGGTTTGGTTACAGTAAACATACATTTGTCTAAAATTAATTTTCATATTGGCCTATTCATTTTGACTAACCCTGTATTTTCCTCCAAATTCACTTTCCTGGGTTGTAATGCCTGGTGGGAGAGATGGTGTTCACACTTTTGGCTGCCTGGATCTCTGTTACTGCTAGGCTACCAGTCCAACAACAAGATTTTAGCCAATTCTGATCTAATTTGGGAAATATAGTGAGGAATGGATTGTTGTAGGTTTTTCCAGGCTATATGGCCATGTTCTAGAGGCATTCTCTCCTGACGTTTCGGCTGCATCTATGGCAAGCATCCTCAGAGGTAGTGAGGTCTGTTGGAAGTAGGAAAATGGGTTTATATATCTGTGGAATGACCAGAGTGGGACAAAGGACTTTTGTCTGCTGGAACTGGGTGTGAATGTTTCAACTGACCACCTCGATTAGCATTTAATGGCTTGGAAGTGCCTGGGAGGAATCTTTTGTTGAGAGTGATTTGATGTGCCTGATTGTTTACTCTCTGTTGTTGTGCTGTTGCAATTTTAGAGTTTTTTAATACTGGTAGCCAGATTTTGTTCATTTTCATGGTTTCCTCCTTTCTGTTGAAATTGTCCACATGCTTGTGGATGTCAATGGCTTCTTTGTGTAGTCTGACATGGTGGTTGTTGGTGTTGTCCAGCATTTCTGTGTTCTCAAATAATATGCTGTGTCCAGGCTGGTTCCTCAGGTGCTCTGCTATGGCTGACTTCTCTGGTTGAAGTAGTCTGCCGTGCCTTTCATGTTCCTTGATTCGTGTTTGGGCAATGCTGCTGCATTTGGTGGTCCCTCTGTAGACTTGTCCACAGCTGCATGGAATACAATACATAGTGAGAGGAATATTATGTTTTCAGAAAATGTGCTACTTAGAATAATCAGGTTGCCTGCTTTAACTCCATTAATTCATCTAACTCCACTGAATGATCCTTCTTCTGTTTAGGTATCGCTTAGCAGGCCTTCCTGGAGAATATCAACACAAGAACATCACCAGTGCAGAGATTAACTACTGCTTGATCAAAGACCTGATCATTTGGACTCAGTACGAAATCCAGGTGGCATCTTACAATGGAGCTGGCCTGGGGATTTTCAGCAGGGCAGTCACAGAGTACACTTTGCAAGGAGGTAAGCCCTGTTTTGGATTAGCGTTGACAGTTAGCCTGTTTGTGTGTACAACGTGCATGCACCTCTCCGGTTTGCTGAATGCCCACGCGTTGTTTCTCACCAGATTTCCAATGTATATGAGCAGCAAGGAAAACAGAAGGGGATAATTGGTATGTTCTGTCTCAAGGAAGTACGGAACAACAGCTGCTCAATTGCAAATTATGTTTCACTTTTCAACTACATCAGTTAGTTAATTTGGTTGTTTAAATAACCCCTGTGACACTTTTTGCTTATTGAAGCTTTCTTACATTTTGAACCTTGTTTGCATATTTTATATGTTAGATGCAGCAACAATTGCATTTGGAAACAAAAATGATAAGATTCTAAACAGGACCAGCTACTTGTATACATGTATACAAGAGTGTATTATTCCACAGCATTCGTTATATGGCTCTCTGGAAGCTTGCACACCCTCACAACAAAGAACATTCCTCCTAATTTTGGAATACGTATTCCTTGCAGACAAAATTGTTGTAAAAAGGGCCAGTTCATTGGCCCCCACCCTTTGGCTCCTTTTGGACACGTTGCTCCATTCTAAACTTCATTCCTCAAACCTCTTGTGATGAGAAATAAAGCCATGTCTCGCAGATTCTTTTTGCACGGTCTGCCAAGACTTTAATGGTGCTTCTTTTTTGACTTGGGTGATGGTTGGAGTTTTTATGTACATATCTATCTGTGTGTGTGGGTTTTCTGTAAACGGTGTGACTCAATTGTTGATCTGGTTTGCGGATGACTAGGACATCTAGAAAAGGCAGCCTTCCTTTTCTTTTTCCATAGTGAACTGGATGTTTGGGTGGATGCTGTTAAGATGGTCCAGGAACCTGTTGAGTTCTTCTTCTCCATGGCTCCAAATGGTGAAGGTGTCATCCACATATCTGAACCATATCGTGGGTTTTTTGGTTGCTGTTTCCAGGGCTTGTTTTTCAAAGTGTTCTATGTAGAAATTGGCTATGACCAGGCTGAGAGGGCTCCCCATCGTTACTCCCTCTTTCTGTTCGTAGAATTCATTGTCCCACTGAAAATAGCTGGTGGTGAGGCAATGGTGAAACAGAGCTGTGATGTCTTCTGGGAACCTCTGGTTGATGAGTGCCATGGTGTCTGCTACTGGGACTATGGTCAATAGAGACACCACATCAAAGCTGATCAGTTTGTCGTTGGTATTTAGCTTGAAATTGCTGATTTTTTCAATGAAGTGGGCTGAGTCCTTGATGTAATGTGTAGTGAGCCCAATATGGCTTTGTAATTGCGCAGCAAGAAATTTTCCTAAGTCGTACGTGGGGGATCCAATGGCGCTCACGATAGGTCTGAGTGGGGTGGAGTCCTTATGGATTTTTGGGAGTCATAGAATCATAGAATCAAAGAGTTGGAAGAGACCTCATGGGCCATCCAGTCCAACCCCATTCTGCCAAGAACCAGGAATATTGCATTCAAATCACCCCTGACAGATGGCCATCCAGCCTCTGTTTAAAAGCTTCCAAAGAAGGAGCCTCCACCACACTCAGGGGCAGAGAGTTCCACTGCTGAACGGCTCTCACAGTCAGGAAGTTCTTCCTCATGTTCTCATGGAATCTCCTCTCTTGTAGTTTGAAGCCATTGTTCTGCGTCCTAGTCTCCAGGGAAGCAGAAAGCAAGCTTGCTCCCTCCTCCCTGTGGCTTCCTCTCACATATTTATACATGGCTAAAGCTAAAGTCCATAAAGCCTAGGTGGAAGGGCTTCCCATTTACATAGCTGTTGTCGTATGTCGAAGTTGATTGAGGAGTTCTTAATCAGAGTGTTGGTTTTCCTGGTTATTTTGGAAGTTGGGTCTTGTTTAAGTTTTCTGTATATCGTAGGATCCAGGAGTTTTCTGACCTTCTCCTTGTATTGTTCTGTATGCATGATTACTGTGGCATTCCCCTTGTCTGCTGGGAGAATGAGGATATCAGGATCTGAGTTGAGGTCTCTGATGGCTTGTCTTTCCTTCCTTGTAATGTTACTGGAGGGAAGTTTTGCCTTTTTCAGGATCCTTGCTGTTTCCTTACTTCTTCTGTTTCTATCAGTAGTCTCAATTGTGGTCCAGTTGAGCTGTTTTGAGCCATAGAGGGTGTCATGGTCTTTGCTTTAGGAGGCTATAAAATGCAAGAGGGCTATTAATGCCTTCCATTTGGGAAACACACTACATCAGTTACTCCATAGCCAGTAACACTTTTGCAATGCAGAGAGGGAATAAGACACCGTTATTATGGCACAATTAAATACACTGTTAGAATATTCTTTGGGCCAATTTGAAAAATAAATGCGTTAGGTAGTCTCCTGGGCACTTGCTTAGGTGGGGAATCCACTTAAATTAATCAGAGTGGGGGGTTTGGCACTAAATAACATGATGTTGCACCTCGGCAGGAGTTCACCTTGCTCACAGAAACACACCAGGAAACCAGACATGATAATAAACAATTTATTGGTAAAACACATATAAGAAAGGGCCAAGGGCACCTTAAGCAAATAATAGGGTAGAAATACAAGTGTTAATAAAGAAAGCAAGTCCCAAAAGCAATAAGTAAATGCAAAAAAACAAGAATTAAGACATGAACATTAGTCCAGGAAACAAGGAACAAAACAAGAGCACGAATCCATAGGTAAATCTATAAAGCCAGAAGCAAAATTTGACCAGGAATCTTATTTATCTATTTATTTATTTATTTCGCACATTTCTACCCCGCCCTTCTCAACCCCCGAGGGGGGACTCAGGGCGGCTTACAAAAGGCACAATTCAATGCCAACACAAACAATAAGATAAAAACATATATCAACAGCAATTATAAAACAATTAAAACAATCAATTATACATCACAATCCATAAAACCAGTCTAATGCTCAATGTTCACCAGCTCAGAGTCCGTAAATTCATTCCACATTGTCTAATCCTATCAATTCTAGTTGTCAATTGTCCTTTGTCTATCTGCCAGATTACCCAAAGGCCTGGTCCCATATCCATGTTTTTAGTTTCCTTCTAAAAGAGAGGAGGGATGTCGATGACCTAATTTCCCGGGGAAGTGAATTCCACAGGTGAGGGGCCACCACCGAGAAGGCCCTGCTCCTCGTTCCCACCAATCTCGTGCTAGAGGTGGGGCTGAGAGCAGGGCCTCCCCAGAAGATCTTAAACTCTGAGGCGGGACGTAGAAGGAGATGAGTTCGGACAGATACGCTGGGCCGGAACCGTATAGGGTTTTGTAGGTCAATCTTGGGTGTTGAGCTAAAGCATGAACCAAGAACAAGACAGGAGTTTCTCACTCCAGTAGCAACATTGCTTGATTTAAAAATCCTAACAGCTCTCTCCCTAAGTTAAAGGCTGCAAAACATGAATGCATTCCTTTGACCTTGAGAGGCCTGCTTCTGCCTCTCTTTGCCATGGCTTTTCTTGCACCTGAATTTCTTCTCCCTCAGAAGCAGCCTGGTATCTCTGTCTAAGCCAGCTGCTTCTTCGGATGAGATAATGTTATCCTCCCCTGGAGCTAATGTTATCCTCCTCTCCCTGCCTGTTGGCTTCCAAATCAGTTTCACTTTCACACTTTGACTCAGCAACTTACTCCAAAACCCCCTCCATTCTATCAGCTTGCTCTAAACCAGTGTTTCTCAACCTGGGGGTCGGGACCCCTGGAGGGGTCGCAAAGGGGTGCCAGAGGGGTCGCCAAATCCATCAGAAAACACAGTATTTTCTGTTGGTCATGGGGGTCTCTGTGTGGGAAATTTGGCCCAATTCTATCATTGTTGGGGTTCAGAACGCTCCTTGATTGTAGGTGAACTATAAATCCCAGCAAGTACAATGCCCAAATCTCAATGACTATTTTCCCAAAACCCCACGAGTGTTCACATTTGAACATATTGAGTATTCATGCCAAGTTTGGTCCAGATCCATCATTGTTGGAGTCTAGAGTGCTCTCTGGATATAGGCGAACTTCAACTCCCAAACTCAAGGTCAATGCCCACCAAACCTTTCCAGTATTTTCTGTTGGTCATGGGAGTTCTGTGTGCCAACTTCGGTTCAATTCCATTGTTGGTGGGGTTCAGAATGCTCTTTGTTTACAGGTGAACTATAAATCCCAGCAACTACAACTCCCAAATGACAAAATCAATCCCCCCGCCAAACCCACTAGTATTCAAATTTGGGCATACCGGGTATTTGTACCAAATTTGCTCCAGTGAATGAAAATACATCCTGCAGATCATTATTTACATGGCGATTCATAATGTTAGGGTTCTGGTTGGGGGTCACCACAACATGAGGAACTGTATTAAAGGGTCGCTGCATTAGGAAGGTTGAGAACCACTGCTCTAAACCCTCCTCTGTCTGGACACCCACAGAACCATCAGGCCCTGTACCCTCAACCCCCTCATCTGGCTGAACCACAGCACATGAAGAATAACCAGTAGATGTCTGTGAATGTTAGCTGGCTTTTCAGAGAGTAAATCTCAAATTTTCCAAATCTTGATGAATGCCGAGATCAGTGAACCAGCTTTTTGCCTTGTAATCTAAACTATCCTAGCAAAGATTGCAGCTTCAGCCTTTGCTATGGTTGTTTCATTTCCTGCTGCCTAACATTGCTTGTCTTCCCTTCCCCATGACATTTAGAAATCAAAGACGCACAAACTCCTTTTCACTCTATGTCTATTTCACCGGTAATTAATAGTGACATCGTGCCACCATCAATGAAGGCTCCAAAACAGCAATGACTGAGTCTTCTTGTCCTGCTTATAGTTTTCCAGGAAGCATCTGGTTGTCCATTGTGTGAAACAGATTGCTAAACTAGATGAACAAATCCTTGGTCTGGCCCGACAGGGTTCCTCTCATGTTCCTAGCACCTTATAGCAGTATAATGCAACATAACTCTAGCCCAGGCATGGACAGTGTTCTGGTACGGCTGTACCAGGAGCTCCAACTTTATTTGCTTTGTATTAAATGTTTGCTTGCAGTCCAAGGTTT